TAGTGCGGCGAAGGGGCGGGTGGGCAGAGGCCTGGGGACCCGGGAACGCGGGGGAAGAGAAGTTGGAAGAGAAGGGGAGGCGAGGGTGGAGAGAGGAATCTGGATAGAAATGGGAGGCTGAGATAGGAGAAGAGAAGAGCAGGAATGAAAAGGAGAAGGGAGGCTAGAAAGGGAGGCTAGAAAGGGAGAAGGAAGGCTCGAAAGGGAGAAGGGGGGCTAGAAAGGGAGAAGGGGGCTAGAAAGGGAGAAGGTGGGCTAGAAAAGCAAAAGGAGGTACAAAGGGAGAGGCGGGGTAAAAAAAGGGAAGCGAGGGTAGAAAGGGGAAGCGAGGGTAGAAAGGGAAAGCGAGGGTGGAAAGGGGAAGCGAGGGTGGAAAGGGGAAGTGAGGGTAGAAAAAGGAAGCGAGGGTAGAAAGGGGAAGCGAGGGTAGAAAGGGGGATTCAGAGAGAGAAAGGGTGAGGAGGCTATGATAGAAAAGAAGAGGCGGGTAGAAAGGTGAAAAACGGGAGGTAAGTGTAGAAAGGATGGGTAGGGTGGGAAATAGAGGCAGGTGTGGAAATTTGGAGATAAAGATGGAAAGGGGAGGCAGAAGTGGGAAGGGCGACGGAGGGAGGAAAGGGCGATGCGGAGTGGAGGTTGGACGGCAACGGGGCGAGCGCGGGGAAGGGGGCGGGAGTAGTGAAGCAGCGGCGAGGTCGCAGGGGTCGGGGGCGGCGCGGCGCAGCAGCTCGCGCGGAGGGGCGGCTTCGGCGCGACGCCCGCGCGCGGGACCTCCCGCCCTCGCTGCCATTTGGGCCTCCGCGGGTGCGCCGCAAACTTCCAGGCGCTCGGGCAAGTGGAATTCGAAATTGGGCTATTGCGGCCACTTTGCCAGGCTCCACGTACACACGTTATGAAAATGAATGGGATGAAGTTGCAAGAACTTTCGGCAGCCTTCACATTCATCAGTCTGTCTTTGCCGTCGAGTGACGTTTCAGCGGAGACAGATAAGGAATATTACTTCTGAAACATGTAGACTTCTCCAACGTTTCGACTTGCCTTGGCATCTACAAGCGCGAGAAGGAGGTAGCGAGTAGTCCTCTCCTCTTTTCCTGCATCCTCTTTCCCGATTTTATCAAACAAACATGTGACGTTATCGTAGCAGTGCTGTTATCCTGTTAAACTTTTCAATTTTTTACGACAAGGGCTATTCAAAATCTTAACTCAGATCAGTAATTAGAAAAGTCTCTTGTCCTTAACCATATAACCGTCTGAGTTGATCAAGAAGTCCTACGGTTCGAGTTCCGACGGTGGCAGAATTTTATGCACTTGCCAGATAGTTACGTCGAATTCAACACCTGTCTGCAGACGAATTCTAACGAACGGCTGCTCTTATTGGTTCTTTCTCTTGCTTTTCTGATCAACAGCAGGCGAATGCCGGATCAGTACCCTAACAAACGGGCCACTGGCCGCACGTGATCTTTTCATCCCCTTCTTTGTATAGTCACCCTTAACTTATATATTTACTCTTACACGCATTACACTCCCACCCTGGTCGGGAGCTTAGAGCTTGTCCCAGTTCTTTGTGCTTCGCCGGTGGGAGATACCTGATTGAGGGAGGTCAACATGCAGCTCGACGCCGAATCTCACCATCCAGCAGGTAGAACACGCCACCTCTCATCATAAAACATGCACTACATTAACGGGCCCAATGACCTCAGCTGTTTACGGCCTCCGGAAATACGAGTCTCGGAGTGAACGGAAAAAAGTCAAGGAGGTGATCCATACAGCCACTAGGATTGTTCATGGCCAGCGTACTGGTTTCATATGGCGTGGTCCCGAGTTCGAACACGATCGAGGCAAAAATGTTGTTGTAGCTTTCCTTTAAATATGTCTCAGTTTCGGTTGCTATGTGACAAAGAAATACTCTCGCAACCGGAGTTAGCTCGTTACGGTGAAGGGAATACACCATGGTCGCCACAGGTTTCTCTTACCTCCCAAGTGTGGGATCTAAACTAGGGCCATGCTTGGGAGTCACCGACGACAAAGTCGGACGTCGAGTACTAACAACTGAAGCATGCGCGCGTCGTGGTGCGTCTGGGCGCGTTGCAGGGCGGCAGTTCGACAAGGACGGCAACATGATGCAGTGGTGGAACAACGCGACGGTGCGCGCCTTCCGCGAGCGCGCCCAGTGCATCATCGACCAGTACTCGCGCTACAAGCTGGACGAGGTGGACCTGTACGTCAACGGGCGCATGACGCAGGGCGAGAACATCGCCGACAACGGCGGCCTCAAGCAGTCCTTCCGGGTAAGGCCGCGCGGCACGGCAAGCGCTAAAGAGATTCATATACACATACATATATATATACATAATATACATATATATACATAATATACATATATATACATAATATACATATATACATAATATACATATATACATATATATATATACATAATATATATATACATAATATACATATATACATATATATACATAATATATATATATACATAATATACATATATATATACATAATATACATACATATATGTAGGGACCGCTTTCGCAGCTACTGCTGGCAATACAACTACCGGTTATGCCCATGCACTCAATTTGGTCAGCGTGTTCATTTACAGTTAGCTCGTTTGTACATGGCTTCATACAGTATATATTGTAATATCGCCATGTATGACATTCAGTTGTTTCTCGATCTGTCAAAGTGGTCCCTTCTTAGAGTCACCCCTCTCCACCACGGCGGTGTGCCGCGGGGGGGGGGCACTAGCTTAGTGAGGTCTCCGAGAGAGGGGACCATAATGTTTTCGTATTAGGTATTTTATTTATAAAATGAGACAAACTTTGCTAAATGAAGTCGTAGTCTTTCACACCAGAGCAGGGTTGCCAGATTGGGCGAAATTCCGCTTTTTGGCTGGAAAACGGTTGTCTCTCACGCGGGACAAAACTTTATTTCGCGGGATACCACCCAAGGGGAGAAATGCATCAAAAATGCAGTTTGGGGCGGGTTTTCAGATTACAACATTTTTTTCAAAAAACAACCTTAACGACATTGTCTGAGATTTTTATTTTTGTACTTATACATGATTTTTTATTTATAAATTGTTAATTCCTTCAAAAGTACTTTGAGAAGTGGGTAATGTTGGTTTTGAGACCTGTTGTACTGGGTGTGTTCTAAAAGTCATAGTGTCTTTGTCGTGCACAACATGAGTATAGAATATATCACATTGGCGTTACTTAGAGTTAATTTTAGAACATGTCATTTAAAATTAATCTTTTGAAAGTACAGTTTCACTGCCAGCATTTTTCGTTAAACCACAGGGAAAAATCATGCATATGTAAGTAGATCTGAGGTAATATTTTTAAGCGTGGAATTTTTAAGAGAAGCAAGGAGAGTGAAAATGGAAAAGTGGGGAAATTAATTTATCCCTTAAAGTATTCCTCCCATCTGGTGCAGTAGTAAGAATAGTTATAAGTATTTTTTAAATTTTAAGATAAAACTCATTATTACAAAAAGTGTACGTTTTTACCTACATATTATTATTAACTACAGCGTTCACAAACAAAAAAATATAACTAATCAAGCATTCTATAGGGGCACTAACTCAAAAAACCTTCTAATACAATTATTTTAATGTAAATTCAAATATACCTCTTGGTGTGTCTGTGTGATGACTTCGACGCGGCGTCACCCGGACATTCGAGAGATTTGCATAATGTACAAAATAAAATTTCCATTTTTTAAAAATTGTTTGCATTCTTTATCAATATTGCACCGGTATTCGAAACAACATACAGGGAGAGTTATTTTAGTTCGTATAGTTTGCGCGAGGTACAGGTGTACGCGGCGAACGTTAATGTGTGTGTGAGACACACGAAAACAAAACCACTGCGCACGGGTAGTAGGGCAATCGACGCATACTGTCGCTGTTGAGAAAGCATCGAGTAGCCCAATGGGAGCTAGGGATTGTAATCTCTCGGAAATCCTTTTCGGCTGCCTTAGTAATTTTTTTCGTTACTTTTCTTGTATCCTTTCTCACTCGAAATATGAATGTAATGTGCCCAGTCACAAAGCTACGAAACCGATGTTTTTGAGATGGCATTGAAAGTAGTCATCTCTCTCCTATCTGATGTCAGCCGTGTTCACAGATTCCTCCCGCAAAGTGCAAAAACACCAGCTTGTTTGTAACACTAACAATAAACATTTCCTCTACCGCTTTGGTCTCAGAAGAATAGATCCTCGTAGAAACTTTGTAAACTTTTCAATTTCGTCGCAAAGTGAATCTCACCGGAATTTTGTGTACATTTCAAAAAATCAAAGTGCTATAGACTTTCATTCGTGGTCAACAAATATACTGCAATTCTGACGGCGTGCTGTCGAGCCATTCTGAACGACCTGAAGTTGTGAGCTTTAAGGTTCGTAATATACACCCAGATTGCATCAAATCAAAAATGTTTATTTTTCTTAGTTTGCACCCTCAAAGTAGGGGATTTTTTTGGCAATACTTAAAACAATCTTTGAAGCTTCGACTCACTATGAAATTAAATTAGAAACATTTGTTCATCTACTTTAGCAGTCGATCGTGTGTTTTTTTTATCACCTAAAATGTCTTATCCTGTATACTGACGACTTTAGTATATAGAAATCCTATGTATAGAAATATTTTCATTTATATTAAACTGTCTAAAGTTACTTTATATAGTAAGGAAATAATTAAGATTATAAGAGAAAAATATGTTAGGTCGAGAGACAAAAGGAAAGAAATCCCATTATAATCTCGTTGCTGGGGACCTCAAGTCTCTAGTTATGGTAAAGCTGCTCTCTGTGATTCTGTTCAGACAACTCTGCCCGTGCGTCAACTTCAGTTGTTTTTTTTCAACAATTTTCTCCCTGGCGTACGCTAAAGGTAACCTTTAATAGCATGGAAAATTTTATCAAAAATAACCCAACATGAGCTTGTTGATGATGTTCATAAAAAACATTTTTTCATAGAGAGAGCAGCTTCCAAGAATCAGACAAATCAAAATTTTCAATTTTTAACCCTAACCTTAACATGGTAACAATTCAGGAATATGCAATTTTGCCGTATAAGCTACTGCTTTCACTCATCGTGGGTTGCGCAAATGCAAACTAACTACCAGAGCGGAGCCTTTCAGCAACGGAAACACATGTTTCACATTGTGACGTATTATTATGGACTAGCAAATCCATTCGTAATTATTCCAGATCTTCATTCGGATCCATTAATAGTTCTGTTGTTCTTGATTACTATATTGTGTTCAATTTGTTCCGTTTGTCTCGATTTATTGAGCAAATACTGACCCGTTTGTTTCTAAATTCTAAATATAACTTATCCTCACAATTCAATCTTACTCAATGTTTTACGTCAAAAAACCTTTGATACATACATAAATAAATAATAAAATACTTTTCTAAAAATATCAATTATTTTATTAGTTATATGCGCGTGACTTATGTCAGAGTTGTGAAAGAATGAGTAGTAAGTAAAGTAGATATTTTTGAATAAATTATATAACTATGGATAAAAAATTATGGAATGATGAATTACTGGGAATTGTTAAGTAATGGAATTAATTAATAATTATGGGAATGAACGAGTACTTGCGGTAACATTTTTGAATGTGTAGTTACGATGAAATTAATGAACGAGTGGTTACGATACAATGAATGAACGAGTGGCCACGGTACAATGAATGAACGAGTGACCACGGTACAATGAATGAACGAGTGGCCACGGTACAATGAATGAACGAGTGGCCACGGTACAATGAATGAACGAGTGGCCACGGTACAATGAACGAACGAGTAGTCGCGGTGAAATGAATGAACGAGTAGTCGCGGTGAAATGAATGAACGAGTAGTCGCGGTACAATGAATGAGTGAATGAACGAACGAACGAACGAATGAGCAGTCTCGGTGAAATGAACAAACGCATAATTATGTTGGAATGAAAGGACTAGCAGGTATGGTGGAATGTATGGGGGTTGAGTACAGGGGGGAGTGAAGGATGAATGCAGAGGGCGTGAGTATGTGAGTGTGTGTAAGTAACCCGGAGCCCTTGTGTGCGCAGGCGTACCGCAAGTGGGTGGCGGAGCACGGCGAGGAGCCGGCGCTGCCGGGCATCGACCTCTCGCACGACCAGCTCTTCTTCCTCAACTACGCGCAGATCTGGTGCGGCTCGATGCGGCCCGAGGACGCGCTCAGCAAGATCCGCTCGTCCGTGCACTCGCCGGGCCCCATCCGCGTGCTGGGCCCGCTCTCCAACTCGTGGGACTTCGCCGACGCCTTCCACTGCCCGCCCGACGCCCCCATGAACCCGGCCAACAAGTGCTCCGTGTGGTAGGCGCCGGTGCTCTGGCCCGCCCCCCGCCCGCCCACGGCCACAGGTGGGCGAGCGAGGCGTTCGGAGGGTCGAGCGAAATGCCTGCTCGACCCAGCGAGGTGTCAGACTACCACGCAGGGGAAATGCTGTCGAAGAAAGGAAGTTAAAATTTGACACGCTAAGCGAGCTCCTCAAACGAGGTACCTGCTCGACCCGTCGAAATGAAAATCGACGAGCTAATAGACTAGCACGCCGAGAAAATTCGATTTAAAACAATTGACACATACTCTCCACTTTGGCATGCTGAACAAGCTCGTATCGTTCGATTGTTCTAGTAAGATGTCTGCTCGACCTGACGAGGTGGAAACCACCGAGCGAGCTTACATGCCAAAACGAGGCGAGGAAAATGCAGTCATTAAAAAATGGAGGTTAAAATGCGACACGCACTCTCGTTGTTGACCGTGCAAATTGCCAAGGTGAACATCAATTATGCAGAAAATAAACGATCATGCGACAGATAAAACAGGTTAAAAATTGTCTATGCTTTCTGAACGACATTTATAATTATAACATCAGACGTAAGGACGATTCTCTGCAGTAAAATGCTATGCTAAGAATGTTTACAACAAAGACATTCTAAATCAACAAAATATTTTTTTCTCGATTCAAAAGTTATAGATAAATTAAATTCATATTTCAAGTAAATGAATTATTTTGTAACTTCCAATATATTTCTCGGCTGTTAACATTGTATTTCAAAACTGCACTGCCCTAGGGTTTGCCAAAACATCTTTTGTGAGCCAAGTAATATGGATATATTATCTCTTCCTCAGAAGCCGTGATGAAGTTACTTACATTTAAAAATCATTAAGAAGTTGGAGACGAAGTGCAAGGTGAACGAATCAGTCTGACGGTACCTCAGAACAGGGTGAGAAGAATTCTTAATGTTTAGACAAAATCAGTTATATTTAATTTCACACAAAATTACCATAATTAACTTTTTGCACTTCCATACGTAAACTTTTCATCTTATATTTGTATCTTCATTGTTAATGCATTTTCTAGGACGATTTGAAGAAATTTTAACTTTTTTACTCCCCAAACAGATAACTCCTCAAACATTCTTGTGTGAAAAACTGTCGAATACTTCAGCAGAGTATACTTTAGAAGCATCATGGAATAATGTGACAAAACATTTCTTCTGTTATAAGTAATCCTTTTTAAGCTGTCGTATATTAATCCTCAACATCAGATAAACGTATATATTTTCATTAATTTTTTTTATTTAAATGAGATATCACTGAAAATTCAGTCACCTCCCGGCAGAAGACTATTTTTACTGGTCCTTATGCCCACCGTAGAATGCTTTTCATTACGATAAATTAAGTTTTGTCTGAACAGCACAATAGAATTGGAAAATAAGAGGAAAAAGAGATAATTTTGGAGCTGAAGAAAAGTCATGTGGAACTGTTAGGCGATCAGCATTTCAAATTCACATCATATCCCCGAAGTTCCATGAAAATGACAATCCGTGAGTTACGAACTTCTCCTTTCCTTGCATTTCAAGTGTCATTCTGCTGCACGCTAGGATGCTGTATATCCCTATCTTACTGAATGTAATCGTCAGTCGATTCAAGACTAACGACGGAATTCGCGTAGACTCTGATTTCAATTTTAAAAATACAGAACGATTTAAGTAAAATCCGTTCGATTTATACGACTACCGTGCACACAAAAACACGAAAACTGATTCAATATTTACATATCATGGAACTCTTTTACAAAGCAGACTGTTTAACTTTTTAAGATTCCCAGAGGAATAGTTCTAATGAAGATATTAATTTAATAAAGTATATTTGAAATATATGTGATGAAATATATTTTCGCTGTATTGAAAAAATTATTGTTAAAAATTAAAATATTTCGCTTTTTGTTACATTTTCTACTTTAATTTCAAATTTACATGTAATGGCGTGATTAAAGAGATTTGCCATATTTTAGTATATTATTCATAAATTCATATCATTTTACCAACAAAAATAGTGTTACAAATCACCTTGCACTGTAGTCTTCCTCGATAATCAAAACGGTTGCGAGAAACGAGTAGAAATATTGTTGAATAAACCATATTACTTCTACCACATTTTTGTTGTTAGTTTGAAAATAAAAGCGAGTAGTCTTCACTTGTGCTGATAGTGAATATAATTTTTAATGAATATATTTATGAACAAAGGTTCATTCGAAACGCAATTCTTGAAAATATGAATTAACAACTCATGAGAAATTTGAAAAAATCCTTTGCTTTGTACTAACATTTCTTAAAAATCTCTTCCTCATTCCTCATAAATAAGCAACGTTCGTGTCGTTGTGTGTTGTCAACTTAACAAAAAAAGTAACACACTGCACTCCCTGCGGAGACTGATACGAATAAAAATTCCCTTTCACAAGATGCTTGTTCTGCAACGGCAGCTCTAATGAGGAAGGATAATGAAAAGGGAGGTGGCCCTAGGGAAGTGAGAAGTTGGTCGAAAAATGCTCGTCTGAAAGCAACAAACTTAAAGAAGAAATTTCAAGCAGAAATGGCTGCATTTTCATTAATCATTTAATTCTTGTGCGTACCTCGAATGTAATTTTGTTATATACAGAAACTTACTTCACAATTGAAGGCAGTGAAGAAGCTAATGAGTGTTGTTGTTTTTGTTTTTTAGCGTTATTAATGCCAATCAAGATGTGTAAAATATTTTCATGCCTAAAGTACAATGCAGAATGTTTTGATGGTAGAAGTGATATACACAATTCTGAAGAGATTCTCTATTAATGTACTGAAAGTGACACTTCAACTATTTGATTCATTCTAACTGTGAAACCAGTTTCACGCCAATTGCAGGACAATGGATGGGTTGCCGTGCGGTCATCTGCCGTGCAGTGGCCACAAGAGGGTTTTGCGCACAATCCTGATGATGTATATTTTATGTAATACTCTACTTACGTCAAACAATGTAACTATATAAGAAATGCGTAGAGCAATTTTTAAAGCAGACGATATAACATTCATGTTGTGATTATATATAAATATGAAGAGGATCAAATCCTTTCTCCAAATTTTCCATAATGTCGCATATAATAAGATGTTACTATTGCTTTTTTTCATATGCTGTACATTAATACATTAACATTTTACTATTAGTTTTAACTATGAAATTGTATATTATATCAATTAGATTTTAATAAGAGTATTGTGAAGGTAATCAATTCTCAAGTACTAGATGTTTCTATGAAGCAAATGTTTCCAACTTCGCATATCACACACATCCATATCAACAAACTTTTAGTAATGAAATGTTACTTCGATAAATGAAATTAACCATCAATTGTCTTCAGACTTTCTCTCCAATGTAGGACTCGCCTACAAAAACGAGCATCTTATTGCTGAAGTTGCGACTGTTTTTGCTAATAAAAGTTTCGGTATTTGATCTCTCAAACTGATGACTCACGTTTTTGTTTTTCAGAGAAAAGGAACGTCAGGAGCGGATCTACATGAACATTTATTAAAACCTGAAAAATATGATGCTCGAAAGGAAATTTACGTTATCGTGAGGATTCAGAAGTGAAATGAATTCCTGTTCTTTTGCTACACATTAGTTCTCAAAAACTGCAGATCCGTTGCTGTCTCTTAGAAAAGGAGAGATCGGGGCTTTTTCAGAACTACTTGTCAATATGCGTAAGCTTAATTATGTCATAAAGAAGTTTTAGATAAGTAATTCACCTACTAGTTCTGGTACAGTTACGTTGTCTCCACTAAATTCTATCACAGTAAATATGATTTCTTATTTGGAAAGTGACTTTTTTCAACTTAAGGACTGGCAAGTTTTCGTCTACCCAACAGTTTTACAATTATAAAATTCAGGTGAATAATGTAACAATCAGGGGATTTGGACCCATTATTGTCACGTGTAAATAATTACTCTGAGTTTGCAATTTTTTTTTCAATGACCAAAAATACAATTGTAAATAAATCGTTTGAATGAAGTCTTCGCCAATGAACCGCAATGGGATAAATTCGGTTCTTGTATTTTTCGGTAGCTTGTTGTTAGATACCATTAATTAGTCTACAAGCCTTTCTTCACTTCGTTAACACAAGGCACAACGGAGTTGCAAGCAACCAGCTTTACACAAGGTAGACAGTTGAAAAAAAATTAAAAAGCTGTTTTAGCGACGCCCTTGGGTTGTTGCTGCCCGAATGATTTTCGAAACATAATTCAATGACCCCACTTCTCCAGAAAGGAAAAAAAGATGGACAATTACCCTTAAAATAAAAGTCCTAAATTCTCCATTCCCACCACCATCACTTGTCGTAGTCTGACATTTTTTGTACACATTTATATTATTTAAAGATAATAAAAAACAATTCCTAACTGGGGTCGAGACATCAATGAAATAAATTATTGAAAAAATACTTGTGTATGTTTTAATAAGATTTGAAAACTATTACAAATAACAGCTACATCATTGAATATTTTAGCAGATCAAATACAGATTTATACAGATTAAATTGTTTACATTAAAACTTCACATTGTTTGAGCCTAATAGGTATTGCCTAAAAAAGACTTAAAATGACCAATAGTTCCTCTTCAAATATATTTTTATTTTTAAACATTTGTATAAATTTCAGAGCAAAAACCTTAATTCAGTAGTAGATTATTTTGAGAGTTTCCCAGTAATATTTTAATCACTCTTACTCAGAACATGACGCCGTCATGAATATATGCAGTGCACATTCTCTGTAATAAACTTTTTTATCAAACATTTCATTATTAAGTATCATTTTCGTTTGAGTTTTGTCAATACGCCGTTCATTTATATACTCTCTCTATGAAACAAAACCTCTGTACAGAAAAAGAAACTACTCGATCCCTTGAGTTTTGTTAGAAACTGAATACTATTTGGATTTGAATTTCGACGCCCCCCCCTCTTCTTCCTTCACAACTGGCTGATGGAAATATCAAACCGACCTCCATAGTCAAAAGCCAGTACTGACTGTTCGCCTTTGAAACACAGCAGCACCTCTTAAGCGATTTTACTGAAATCAGTCCATCTCAGAATTAACGAAGCACATAAACTACTGCCATTTTTCTGACGCCAAAAAAAACATGTAAACCTTCTCCACGGAATTTGACAAAACCTTACGCTCTTCACATTGTACAGGGCAAATTTATCGAGTCGTAATTCTTTCGTTGCCAAAAATCTTTATATTATCTGCAGATGGAAATTGCATATTCATGAAATTATGTATTTTGTTTCCGTTAAGTTACAAATCAACCAGGAAATATTGTGGTATCTAGGATTTGTAGATTTCCTGTATTTGTCTTAAAAACGAATCATATGTTCGAGCATTTGTTTATATGAGGTTGCTGAATCTTCAACAAAATTAAATGGTGCAGTAGCCCTGCTCTCTCCTGTAGCCTGCAATGATTTATGACGTATTACAGTGTTTTCCACACATACGTCCTTACTTCCTGTGCTCTACCACCATTTTTAATACATTTTTACAGAGAACACAAAACTGTTATGCAGAGACCTTTGTTCTCCATATTAGCAATTCGTGTTCCACGATCCAATCTCGCTCGCACAAAAGCCTTCTAAACACAGCGTGGTTCCGAAGCTCAAAACGCTGATTTTTCCATCTCAGTTTACCGAACAGGACCACGTAAAAGCTCGGGCCTGTAATTTTGTGCGTTCAAATATGAGTGACGAGTTCAGCGAGAGACATTTGTACTGAATTTGTGCAACAGCTAGAAACATCAACACATCGTTGCTTAGCGGAATACTGTTATCAGATTACACCCATCTTACTCGAAAACTGGATTAATGGCAAATTACATCCGCAAATGTAGCACATTTATACCTGGGAGGACCACAAAATCCATCTCAGTGCAAGGTCTGAAGATGAGAGGCCGGTAAGTTTTGACGGTAAGTGATTTCTTTTTTTGTAGTCGTAAGTGAAGATAGGAGGTCTGCCTTCTCTAAAATCTATTATCTACACGAGTTTGCAGGACACGCTTCTACGTGACCATGAGCTTACGCTGTTTATTAATTGTAAAAACTGCATAATGTCTAATATAGCATGTCGAATTTTAAAACATTTGGCGACGCATTTTGATTTGGTGGGGATAAATCAGAACATCTTTAATTATGATTTGAAATAACGAAGCTAAAATTCTGAATCCTTATGTTATTGCACTAAATAATGAATATGACGACCAGAGAACATGATGCGCCTTAGACGATTGTACAAAAGTGGTCACACGACGGATTGATCTCGTGTGCACCAGCAGTCGAGTTCGCACGATGTATCTGAGACCTATTTAACGGCCGTTAAAGCGCGAGCTATGCACACGATCGCTCATCAAAATGCATTAGGTGCCCCTCCGCGACCGACCTAAGTTGCTCAGGGAATCAACTGATGTCACTGCAGTGTCTCTGACCTGGCGGATCTAGGGTTTGAATCCCGACGGTGGCAGGATATTCGACAGTAGGTCGATATTCGACACTAGGTCGATATTCGACACTAGGACGATATTCGACACTAGGACGATATTCGACACTAGGACGATATTCGACACTAGGTCGATATTTGACACTAGGTGGATATTCAGCAGCTGTCTGGAGGAGAATCCTAGCGGTCGAATGCTCTCATCGGTAGTTCTCCGTGGTCTCGCCGATCAACACCAGGCGAATGCCAGAGCTGTACTCTAACATATGAGCCATGGACCGCGAACTATCTTTCCTTCATCTTCATTGTTCTATCCTTACCCCTTACTTACACACACTTACACCAACATTTATTACACTACCACGCATACCGGAAGACCAGTGGGGAGCTTTGAGCTTGTATCGGATGGGACGGTGTCCCACCGGAGTAAGATACCTGGTTAGGGAAGACCCAGCTAGCCGACAGTTGGGACCGTATCTCACCATCCAACGGAGAATATCATCGCCAACTCCCGAGGAAAATCCATGTACTACACTTACGGGACTAATGACCTTAGCCGTTAACGCGCCCGGAGTCACTCAATAACCCAATGCAAGCTAGGGAGTGTAATTGTCCAGATTTTTTTTTTCTGCGTTCGATATTTGTTTTATTGATTTTCTTCTGTGCTTTCTAACACTAAACCCGATTGTAACATTTCTGGGTCGGCGGCAACCAGTGCAGCCACGTCCCTCTCGTATGTCGTCAGCCGCGCGCAGCGATCCCTACCGCCACCGAGTAAAACGGGCCGCAGACAATGCATCGGGTGCCTGCAATTGCGCGAGTGGCGTGGCTGCGGGGGCGGGGGAAGGGGGGGGCGTGCGAGAGTCGCGGCCGTGGCCGTGAGAGCGGCGAAGACACGCCACACGTGGCCGCCTCCCACAACGCAGAAAGCGCAGGAAGCGAGCGAGTGTGATTCACGCGGTGCAGTCATACGCGCGGGCAGTCGCGGGCCGATGGCAGCGCGGAGGGGATAAAGAGGCGGTGAAAGTGCGGGTGATTCAAAGCTGTGATTCAAATGGAGGATCTCCTACTTAGGTAAAAGCTACAGTAGTGGCACTACACGAAAACATTTTCGTAGTTTTCTTGAAATGTTTGGGCTACAAAATTCGTTCTATGAAGCACTGTACTGATCTGGCCATGTGAAACTCACTGAAACCCCAGAAGTCATTATTCCCTTTGCCTATAATGGCAAATTTTCAATTTGTTCTTTTTTATTATTAGTACTTTTTTATTTCCATGCCCTGATTTGATACAGTACAGGCCAACTTCAAAAATATAAAATTTTGGTAATGATCACATACATATTCCACTTACTAATAGCTAATTGTTATTCGATCCGCTGATCGTTGATTGATTAGTGAATCCGAGCGAGTCAACTGCAACCCTAACGTTTATCGCGGAAGGTGGCGGAAAACTCCCGTCGGCTTGCGGGGTTTTTCCTCAACTAGGTATCTCTCACCTGCGGAGCACCAACCCAGCCGGGTAAAGCTCTAAGTTCCCGTCTGGTCTTTTGGTGTGTACGGTAGTGTAGTGCCTGTAAGTCTAAGAGTAAGTGTAGGTCTGTGTGTAATTAAGGTGTGATGATAGGACAAGGAAGATGAAAGAAATATCGGGGACTGTGGTCCTTTTGGTACGGTACTGCTCCGTCATTTGCGTGGTGTTAATCGGAGGAACCACGGAAAACTACCAGTGAAAGCACTTCTCTATGCTTTGCTCACGATGCCTCATGTCGAGTTGTCTATCGGATGCAGTGCTGAGAGAAGCATAATGCAGTACCTGCAGTGCGTTCCAACGGCCCGCACCCCGTGTTAACTGCGGCACTTGGGTCGGCGTCGGAAGCGAGTGCGAAGGCGGTGCAGGGGCGGCGGGAAGGCGGCGGCCCCGCGGGGTCGTGCAGGTAGGAGCGGCGCCAGCCCGTTAGCCGCGTGCGACCCACCGACTCACGCACGCGGCGCGGCGCGGCGCGGCGCGGCGCGGCGACGGACGCGTCAAACGGCGCGGTGCACCTACGCCAAGTGGGGCATCCGGCAGAGGCAGAGGGGGAGAGGTAGTGGGTAGGGAGAAGAGAAGCAGGCGGAAACTGAGACAGTGCAGGAGATGGAAACGGCAACGTCACGGGAATGACGACGTGACGAGACCAGACGGGAATGACGACGGCACGAGACATGACGGGAATGGCGACGGGACAAGACGAGAATGGGGACGGGACAAGACGGGAATGGGTACGGGACAAGACGGGAATGGGTACGGGACAAGACGGGAATGGGGACGGGACAAGACGGGAATGGGGACGGGACAAGACGGGTATGGGGACGGGACAAGACGGGTATGGGGACGGGACAAGACGGGTATGGGGAACGGGACAAGACGGGTAATGGAGACGGGACAACACAGGAATGGGGACGGGGACAGACGGGAATGGGGACGGCAGACAAGACGGGAATGGGGACGGACAACCACGGGAATGGGGACGGAACAAGAACGGGAATGGGGACGGGACTAAAGACGGGAATGGGGACGGGACAAGCCCGGGAATGGGGACGGGACAAGACGGGAATGGGGACGGGGACAGAGACGGGAATGGGGGACGCGGACAAGAACGGGATGGGGACGGGGACAAGACGGGAAATGGGGACGGGGGACACAGACGGGAATAAGGACGGGACAGACGGGAAATAAGGACGGACATGTGACGGGAATGGGGACGGGACGGAACGGGAATGGGACGAGGACGGTGGAAGATGGAGAAGAGCGTCTCGCATCTTAAGCACGCACCGCAGACACACAGTCTCCGGTAATAAAGTTGAGTCACTTCCTTGCTTAGTACACAGGTGAATCAATATTTGCGAGTATGTTGAAATTCCTCGTAATGTTCCAAAAGACGTAAACTCGCTTAATAGTCCTTCAGGATAAAAACGTACTTTAGAAGTGAACACTCAATGACATCATGAACATGATCGTTCCATACGTAATGACCGAGAACGTAAACGTGTACACAACCACTTGTCGATATAGTTGGTATCCATAAAAAGATAATGGACCAAGAAATTATCTACACAACGTACAACATAACATGAAATGCCATAAAATTAATAATGCTTAGATAACAATAATTCTGTAAGCCTTGCCCGCAATGTGTGATTCTAAGAAACGTTTTGTGATTAATGTGGGCAATTAATTCGAACATAACATAATAGACTGGCTGCAGCATAACCCAGCATGTGTTGGTTATTGGATGTTGCGGCGGCGTACGGCAGTTCCTTTATCGCGAACTACGTTAGCGTAAACGTGGAAGTTTACTCTTGGTGAAC